TGTGCCATCTGTTAGTCCCAACTTAATCTGCCCTGTGCCTTCTGTGCAAGTGCCAGACTATTTCTCCTTGTGCTGTCGTGCTGGGTGAGAAGAAAGGGAGACTAAAAAAGCCCAGGCTGGTTTATTTTTTGCTAGGAAGCAGTGGTGGCCGCAGATGTAACTGAAGAGAGGGCTTATTTAGGGCGAGCAATTTTGCAATAGCCTTGGCACATGAATACAAAGTCACCTCCTCCTTTGTCTTTAGAGGTACCTGCCAGCATCCGCCCAAAGCATGGCTCTAAACTGACTTTTCCTGTGTGTATTGCTGTTTTTTTAATATACCATTAATTAATGAGGCAGAGGCAAAAAGACACACAAACACAACGGAATAGCTTTTAACCTGGCTTGATTAATGCTGTCAAGTTGTACATCTGAGTGTGAGCTCAGTGGGACCATTGCTTTTGTTTAATACCACAAGACATCTCAGTCTGGATTGTTGCATTACAGTACAAATAAAAAACAGAAACAAAACCACATCTGCATCATACAAGGTGAGAAGAATATGAGAGTTCTAAATATTTACAGAGAAGGGCAAGTGGGGAAACCACAAAAAATATTTACATAAAAATACATGAGCTTTTCGGCATATACATTTTACACCAGTTCACAAAAAAAGACACTATATAAATTAAAGTGAAGGGAACTCCAAAGGTAACCCAAGACTTTCTGGGATGTTTCTCTCATGCGGCTCAAGGGAAAGAAAAATCAAGTCTTCTACAGCAGGAAATGAACTGCAAAACAACCCTTTTCTCCCCCCCCTCCCTCCCTCCCCCCAACTGGACGAGGCAAGACTCTGCACACAAAGGTAGGACGTTGTACGGCTGTTTCAACCAGACCATGCCCTCCCACACCGGGTACCTGCAGCACGGGGCTCTGGGAACGAGTTGCATGCCTGAGCCGCCTTGAACAAAAGCAAACAAACCCATTTCTCATCCAGATTTCCTGACACTGACCACATCAGTCGATGCCCTGTCAGCGTCCTGATGAACGGCAGAGTACACGTGAGGGTCTGTCCCTTTCTGGGGTTCCAGAGGAACAGGATTGTGTAGCAACTACCACTGTGCAATCAATCCGTACTGACCCCCCCCTTCAAATGATGAGCGTAAAATGAGGCTCTCTGGAAAGACATAGGCACAAAGTCGTGGGTGTGTTGTCATCTATGCATATAGATTTCACCTGATAAGACTCAAAAACATCAGAAATTAATGCTTTACTTAAGACTTCATAGGGGCTGGGTCCTCGTTACTCACCTAACATCTGCACTCCCCCTTGCCAAGGAGGGTCTCCTGTGGCCGCGTGTTCCACCCCAAAGCGGAGGTGGAAATCCAGAGTTGGAGGACGCTGCTGGACCCCAACTCTCGCACGCACCAGGAAAAAACTCGGCTGAAAACTCAGGAAGTGGCAATTTAAGATGCAGATAGCTTGTGGCAAGTACAAGGGGACTGCTGAAGAACAGAGCTGCTTGTCATTTTGCTGGAGATGAGGTTAGGCAATAAATTACCCAGTCTGAGCAGAACTGGACTTGCAATAGAGCATTGTTCACGCTGCCGTCCCCTTGCTGTCTCCCGTTTCTCTACTAGGACACTAAAAACTGAACTACCAACTTACCTCCAGATCATCCACCTTCCTGAGACATCTGGTGTAACCTCCCCCCTCCCTCTGCTGTACAACATCCTTTTTAACCTCAGCTATGACTTTTGGAAAGATGCAGCTGGATGTTTTGACTTTATGGTGAATCAATTAATGAGGATGTAACACTCGGATTCTGAGGACCACGAGATTAACCACAGTGCAAGAGCAGAACTGCATAGTTCACTATATGGCTTTGCGTGCGGGGATGACTGCTGAACTGGACTAGATGTTTTAAGCCGTGGGCAGTAATAGCAACACCAAAAGAAAGGTGCTCATCTGTATTGTTATCTGGGAGAAGCTGGTGCCTTCACCTTGCTTTTTATTTTTTATTCTTTTTGTACCTGTGGCTCAACACTGGTGTACAGAAGTTAGTCTGGGTTCTCTGAGAGCTCCCAGTCCTGGAAGCAGGGGCTGCCGCGGCTGTGTGCAGAGGGATCAGAGGACACTGGGTATTAAGTTTTCTGCTCTTGTGTCTTTTTTTTAATGGAGACTTTCTCGTTCTCGAGGGGAAGGATGTTTGTAGCAGCCACGTGTGCACTTCTAGGAGCTCTTTCTTTGTGTTTCCCATGGGATGAGGGTGCTCAGCACCTGGCACTTCATACAACGCAGTGAGCTGAAGAGCCCAGGCTCAGGCAGGAGCAGCACAGGACTGTAAGGAACAGAAGTTGTCCAGGGATGGCACTTGATCTCTAGAGGGAGACAGTGGCTTTGAGCAGGAGAATCCAGAGGTGATTAATTAGTGGGAGCTGGGCTCAGCCCCCTCGCAGCAGGATAGTCCTGGTTAAGGTAAGGCCCAAGCAGAGGTGAGGAAAGTTGCTGCGGGGGGCAGGAGTGGGGAGTTAAGGCTTTCGTGGAGAGAGAGGTCTGACCTACAGCTCTCATGACCTGAATCCCAAATAGCCTGAACCAAACACATTGTCCCTGCTTCAACTGGAGACCTCGGCAGGTAACTGGCAGCTGTGGGGAGACTGGGCTACAGTGGTGGAGGACTGGTACCAGTCCTAACACAATACACACCTCTACGGAGAGAGCACAGGCTTAAACTGGACCCCCTCGGCGAGGAGCCCGGGCAGGTCGGCCG